AACACAATAAGAAAAAACGATGAAACCGACGAACCGCAAAAAAAAGACAAAAAAAGAAAAGAGAAACAAACAACTACAACAACAAGTGGGTCCTGTTAGGCTCGCGCAGGGGAAAAGGAAGAGGGAAGCGGACGAGGAGTAATACCAAACAAAAAAAAAGAAAATCGAGAGGGACGAGTCGACTCAGTGAGGAAGTTCCCCGCATCCGCCGCCCCCTGCAGGCGCGTGAGTCGCTCGCCGGTCGCGCGCGCAGCACAAGCCGTTGCCTCCTCTCCGCCCCGCAGCTGCCGAAAGGAGGCAGACACACCGCGAGTGAGAGTTACGGCAGAGAAAATTTTTTTGTTAGTTAAAAAAAAAAAGAGTCCCGCTGCACATCGACGCCCAAGCGCCTCCCACAAACCCGCACCCCGCACACCCCGTCTGCCCCCTGTTCCCCCACGCGCCCTCTCGCCTCCCGTGCGCACGCGTACGCACGTGTGGCGCTGCTGCAGAAACCGACATGCAGGCAAAATCCCTCCTCATCCTCATCTCCCTTAAAAACAAAAACAAAAACAAAAACAACAAACAAATGCACTGGAAAAAAAAAGACACGGCACTGTCAACACCGGGTGGAAACGCCGCTTCCCCTGCCTCACTTGGATGATGGAAATGGCAGAGGCGTGCGCACTGAGCAGTGAGCCCATCCGTGTAGTTACAATGTATACACCGTAATAGTACACACCCACGGTGAGAAAAAAAAAGAGAAAGAGGCGCAAATATATGTATGGCGATGTATATGCGTATATACAACACATATGCTTGGGTATATAGGCATATGCAGAGACCCTTAACGAGCTTCTCCACTCCTCCTCTTTCTTGCTTCTCCGGCCCTCGCTCCTACTCGAACTCATTCACATCCTTTTGCTTTGTCCACGTGTGTGAGGAAAAAGAACAAAAAAAGGAACACACACAAGCAGACAATGAAATAAAACAAAAAAAAAACACGGGTGTTTTCGTTGGCCTTTCTCTCTCTCCCTCTCAATGTCTTCCATCATTTCTTTGGCTTCTATCGCCCAACTAAAATATATATTTTTGATCCCGTCGTACCGCACATGCCGCATACTTTTTTTGATATATATATATATTTTTCTTGTTCCTCCTCAAACCCGCTTCAACTGCCTCTTTGCCTTCTCCCGTTCGTGCCTTCATGCACACCCGAATTCCGCCCCCCCACCACCGCTTCTTCTACTTCTTTTTTTTTTCCTCTAAGGCGTCCGCATCCCTGCAAATCTGCCGCGGCAAACAGGGGCGGAGTGCCCCGCAGTGGGGCGCACAGCCACACACACACACACACACGCAGAGACGCGAAGGAAAAACAACAAGAAAAAGAAGAGCTCGATGAGGAGAAAAGCACGTGCCAAGCCGCCATGTGGGCCGCGTGGGTTGTGAGCCTCGCGCCGGGCGGGGGACGCGGCAGAAAAAGCAGCCGACCAGCCGGCCGGAAACAGCGGGCCACGCGAGCCGTCATCCCCACCCACCCCCGCTTCTGCTGCTCCCTTTCATCATCTTCTCAGTTCCGCCCGCGCCCCACGCCTCAGTACTCGGCACGCCGCACGTTGGCCACCTCGCCGAGGGCGAAGAGGTCCTTCTTCCTCCGCTGCTCCTCCTTGGCACGCTCCAGGGCGTTCTGGATCTTCTCCTTCTTCTCATACACCTCCGCTTCCTCCTCCGTCTGCCCCATGCGGCGCAGCAGCCGCATCAGCTCCACCTTCTGCTCCTCAACGGTGTTGCGCTGGTCCTCGCACTCGCATACCTTGCGGTCGTACTCCTCCTTGAGGCGGTCCACCTCGCTCTCTAGCTTCTTGATCTTCTTTCGCAGCTTCTTCGACTTTTCCTCCTGCTTTGTGACGTCGCCGCGGTGGCCCTGCGCGTACTCCTCCAGCCGTTGGTTCAGCACACTCTGAAAGTTTTCGTCGCGCTCCTGCAGCTTCTGCCGGTACACCTCCAGCGTCCGCTCCGCCGCCGCGTTTGTCTCCCGCAGCCTATGCTGCAACTCCTCCGACTTCTCGTTGCTCTTTACAATCAGCGCCTTTTGCTTCTCGAGCAGGCCACGCATCTGGTCCAGCTGATCCGTGCGCTCCTTTAGCCGGGCCGCCAGCTCGGATATCCGCTCCGTGCTGCTGTGTGCGTCCTCTAACTGTCGCTCGTACTCGCTCACCATCTCGTTCATTTTTCCCTCCAAATCCACGTAGCGGCGCTCGCTCTCCGCCGCCTCCTTGCGCATCGACTTCAGCTCCTCCTGCTGCGCCTCCTTGGCGCGCAACAGCCCCTCGCTCTTGGCACGCTCCTCCTCCAACTCGTTGCGGAGGTCCTCGATCTCCTTCTGGGCCGCCTCACTGACGCCAGCAGCGGTCTGGCGAGCTGCATTTTTGCTCAGCAGCGCCAACACCGCCTTTGCGTCCCCGTTACTCTCATCTACCTTCATGGCAGCCAGCAATTCCCCCTCCCGCTTTTCGTAATGCCTGCGCATCTTTTCAAGCTTGGCCTGCAGGGTCCCTTCCGCCACGCTGCGACGCTGCTCCTCTACCACGCGTGCCTGCGCCGCCTCTGCGCCCTGCATAGCTTCTTTATACATCTGCCGCAGCTCGGCGTTCTCGCTCATCAGCTTGCTGAGTTCCTCCTTGAAGTCCGGCGGGGCATCCGGCAAAGCCGCGATGGCGTCAAGAACCTTGTTACGGCGCGTTTGTGCCTTGTCCACGGCGTTGTGCAAGTTTGACAGCATGCCTGCGTACATGCCGGCCTCATTGGCATCCACCACCTCAATCTTTTTAATGGTGTCCCGCGAGGCGTCCGCGTTGCCGCTGATGGCTGCAAGTGGTACAGCCTGCGCCTCTCGCATCGCGGATTTCAAGTCTTGCATAAAGTTGTGCATGTCAGACATGTGCGAGAGTGCAACGCTGTAGCTCTTGTCATCCTCCGCAAGGATGGCACGCAGTTGCTGCACAATAAGTGAGTCATTCGCCCCAGGGTTGCTAAGGGCCTCCTTCGCCTTCTGCAATTGTGTCAGATAGGCCGTGACGGTCTTCTCGTGGCTACTCTGCATTTTCTGCAGCTTCACCTCTATTTGGGCCAGGGCACCCTTGTCCTCCAGCTGCTGCTGCGCGTTTTCAAGTGCAGTTCGCAGCTCTGCCACCTCATTGCTGCTAGCCGCGGCGCCACCAGGCGATTGTGAGGCCTCTTCCCGTCCCTCACGCAGCTCATTTAACTCCTTATTTGCCTTGCGCAACTTTGCCTCCGTCGACTTTAGCGACGACTGGGCCTCATGCAGCTTCTCCTCCAATTCCCTCGTCACGGCCTTGTGCTCCTTCCGCATCTGCTTTGCCTCCACCCCAAGCTTCTGCACGGCGTTGTGCAGGCGCGCCAACTCCTGGCTGTGCTTGCCGTGTGCGCGGTCCTGTAGCACCGCCTCCAGCTCGTTGAGCGTCGTGATGGGTTTGCATTTCTCCTCCTCATCGTCACCGCGAAGGTACTGCGAGCAAAGCCGCAGAGCCTCCTCCCGCTGCAGGCGCTCGTCTGTCACGCTGGACTCCATGATCTGAAGATCATTCTGCAGTTGCCCAATAAGATCCTCCAGCTCGACGACCCTGCTGGTGGTGGCCTGCCGCTCCATGTTCAACTTCGCCTTGAAGTTCTCAAAGTCCACGGCATCCGCCTCACGCGCCCGCACTGCACTGTCGAGGCTCACTTCCAGCTCACCCACCTTCTCCCGCAGCTCCTCCACCTCCCGTTCTAGTGCGCCCGTTCCCTCCGTGTCGTACCGCTTCAACTTCTCCCGCAGCTCATGCACAAGCTCTGTCAGCTCAAGAATCTTCTGATCCTTTGTATCCATGTTGACAACGGGTTTGTTCTTGATTTGTTTGGCGCGATCGGCAAAGCGCAGGGTACTCACCGTCTCGGAGAAGTTGTGTTCACTGGGGCCAATGTTTGCAAACATAACCGTCTTGCTGGAACCACCAAGGGAGTCCTTTAGCAGCATGGTGAGTGGGCTGCTGCGAAATGGCACGTGGCCCCTGCCTTTAACAATCGTGTCAATCACCGTCCCCAGCGCACTGAGCGAGAGATTGATGTTGCAGCCCTCCCTCAGGGTGTCGCCGAGGGCGCCGGTTTTGCTCTGCCGCTCCGACCCTGCCAGGTCCACGAGGTTCAGCTTACTCGTCACAGAGCGGGAGTCCCCGTCCTCGCAGATTTCCGTGCATTCAATAATGAGCGAGAAGACGGAGTGGGAGCGGGAGCTGTCGGCGTTGAGGTCGGTTGAGGCCACGCGCCGGCGCTCGTTGCCCTCCTCCATGTGGCGGAAGATGTCATCGGGGGACTTCACCTGCGGGATGTGGGCCCCCTGCACGTAAAAGGTCTTGTCCTTGTTTTCCTTCAGCGCGAGCGGGACCTGCTGCCGCGCCAGCAGGTCCTGCACCTTGCCGTTGTAGAGCTCAATGAAGGAGACGTACATGGAGAACTGCATGTTCGCCGCCGCCGCCTTCATCGCCGCGATGCGCTCAAAGATGTGGTCAAAGCAGCGCGGCGTCACCCCCTTCAGCTCGGGGTCGTCAATTTTCCCCGTCATGGTGTGCGTCTTGCCAGACCCCGACTGCCCGTAGGCGAAGACGGTGGCGTTGTAGCCCTCCAGTACGGAGTCCACCAGGGGCATGATGAACTGCGTGAAGATGTCGCGCTGGCTGAAGGTGTTGTTGATGACCGCGTCGAAGGTCCACCGGTCGGGCTCGCCCACGATGCTCCGCACGGTGACGGTGTGCTCGGTGAGGTCCAGGTCCACGCAGGACTTGTACCCCTGCGCGTGCTCCTTCTCGCTCAGCGGGCGGCAGCGCACGAGGACCTTGATGTTCTCCGCTCCACTGCTCGCCTTCCTCCCCATTCTTCCTGGGCGCAACAACGCACGGGGCTGCCCACGCAAGCAGGAGGGGCAATACAAATAAAACTATATATATATGTGGAGTGTATATGCGGCTGTGTAGCCTTGTGCGGGTGCGTGAAACGTATGCCTAAGGCTTCCGCCCTTTTGCTGTGTATCTGTATGTATGTGTTTGTAGTGATTACGCGGGCCCTGACGCCACCGGCCGCCGAGTCCCCCTCTCAAGCAGGAGAAACAACAGACGTAAATCAACTTAAAGCAAAATAATAATAATAACAATAGGAGAGGCAAAGTAGAAGAAGAAAAGTGTTTAACACCGAAAAGGTTCCTCTCTCCGCCCCCACCCCCGATTCCGAGAGAGTGAGTGCGTGTAGCCACTTCCCCTCCTGCATTGAGACACGGAAGGGCAGGAAATTTTTATCTTTATTTTTAGTCTTTTTCCTTCGCTGTTTCCTTGTTACGCAAAGAGAGGTTATAGACACAGCCCAAACTGCGGCAGCGGCAAGAGGGGGGTGGCTTGGCGACAGGGACCACCTGTGAAGTTGCCGCGCCACTCGCACTCGCACTCGCACTCACGCAGAAAGAGAGAGAGAGATACGCCGGCCAGCCTCCCCAAGCAGACTCACCGCCGCCTGGACTCCTGCTCCAGCTGCTGAATGGCCGCTATAATGTCCGCCGCGACCACCGGCTCCACCGATATGACGTGCTTTCCATGCAGCCTGTACGCGTCTAGCTGCAGAACCGCCCGTACCGCCTGTTCCACCGTCTGATACGTCACCTCGAAGACGCGCTCCTGCGCCTTGGCGGCAGCGGCGCTCGTCGCGGGGGGATCCGCCGTCTCCGCCTCGCCCGCCGCCGCCGCCGCCTCCTCCTCCTCCTGCCGCTGCTGCTGCTGCGAGCGGTAGCGGGGGGCGTGGGCTGCTGCCTCCGTCGGCGCCGGCGCGGCTGGCGTTCGCCGCACCACGCAAGACACGACGGCTCCGGCGCGCGAGAGCAAGTCACGGATGTCAGAGGCCCCAAAGTTGACAGGTACGCCGCGAACGAGCACCTTTTGGCTGCTGATGCGCGTGGCCCCGGTGGCGTCCTTAAAGGGGAACGCCCCGGTTCTCTTCAGCAGCGCCGCAAGCGACTTGCTGGGGTGCCCGGGCGAGCCTGCGTCCCCGCCACCACCCCCTCCCCCAGCGGCCGCCGTGACACGCGCCACAGCCGCCTCCACCAGAGACTCCTGTCGCTGCTGATTCTTCGTCAACTTCTGGGCGTGCGACTGCACCTTGTCCAAGGCGAGTTTTTCCAGTGTGAGCTGGTCGATGCGGGCCTGGAGCGCCTCCAGGCGGGTACTGAGTGCAGCGACCTGCGCCTCCACCCCCGCAACCGCCGAGGCCGCGGCGGCGGCGGGGGAGTTCGGCGCCACTTGCGTGGCCTGCGGCAGCGCGCGCTGGTCTCCACGGCTCCCGCTTGTGGAGGGGGGCGCCTCGCCACCGGCGGACCTCCCGCCCTTCGGCGCAGCGGCGTGCTTCAGCACAAGCTTCTCCACCTGCCGCACCAGGGCCTCCACGTTACGGTGCTGCAAGACCACATCGGAGGCCAGTCGCGTCGTCTCGGCGATTTTTTGCTGCACCCGCGCGGCCTCCTCCTCCACCGCCACCACGCGCCTCTCCAGAACCGCCTGCTGCCGCTGCAGCATAGAAAAGGCAGTTGCCTGCTGCTGAATAACACCATCGGCGTGCGTGAGCCTCTCACTGAGCTTTGCTACGTGGTCCTGCATCCGAAGCGCCAAATCCACCTCCCTCCCTCCGGCCGACGGTGGACTCTGCTTCGGCTGCTGCGGGTTTCCCTGCGCGACGGACGGGCCGTTGGGAAAGGCGGCGGCGGCAGCAGCAGCGGAGGAGGAGGGCGGCGACGGCGGACAGCGGAGAGGCACGGCGCAGCGCATTGCCGTTCGCACCGTCGGTGCCGCCAAGAAAAGGCAACAGTGGGTCCTCGCAAGGAAGCAGAAAGGCATCACTACCTACTGGCCGACGCGCAGGAATAACAACAGAGAGAGAGAGAGATAGAAAGAAAGAAATACAAAAGTAAAACAACGAAGTTGGCACAACTCCACAGCTGAGTAACGAAGATGTACGCCCCGCAGAGTACACGCAAGTTTTCCCCGTCGTTTAGTTGCACCCATTCAGTACGATGCGTGTGCAAGGTTGCTCAGTGTTCCTTTTTTTTTTGCTTTTTAGTTTACCCCAAAAAACTGGCGGTGCCGCTGCCTTCCTCCCTCACCCTCGGCCGCAGTTCTGCCTTACCTACACGCTCTCACCGTTCCTCCGCCTCCGCCTCCTCGCGTGCATGCTGCGCGGGTGCATTGAGCGGGTCCGTCGGCCGTCAAAGTGCGTCCCGCGCCTCGCCCCGGTGGGACTTCTCAATGCGGCGGAGTTTGCCGTCGAAGAAGCGGTGACGGCCGGCGCGCCCCAGCCGCACCCCACCGCAGCGACGCAGCAGCTCATCGTCCGTCAGCCGCGTGATGTCCACGTTGCGGTCCTCCTCGTCCTCGTCGCTGCTGCTGCTGCCGCCGTCGCTGGAGGCGTCCTCGCTGCTGCCGCGGCTGCTGCTGCTGGCGCGCGCGCCCTCCTGCCGTCCGCGCTTTTCCCGCGTCACTCGGCGGGCAACTTTTGCCTCCGCCACCGCGTCGTCCCCCTTCGGCGACTTCCGCCCCGCCTTTGTCATGGTGGCGTACACGGCGTCCAGCTCCACAGAGAAGGTGGAGGCCTGCGGGGCCTGTGTGGCGTCCGCGGCGTGCCCCAGCCCTGTGGCGGTGCGTGGGTCGCGGCGCACCACCTTCACGTACGTGGAGACGCCCTGCGCGTCCTTGCCGAGGCCCATGCCCTCCTTCCAGCCGTGGCGCTCCAGCATCTTCCTCGCGATGGATGACATCCTGCCTGCCCGCCCGCCTTCGCTCCCCCGTCACTTCTGCCGGCGGGGGGAAAGCCAGCGGACAGCGAAGATACACACACGCAGAGAGAGAGAGAGAGAGAGAGAAGGAGGAAAGTAAGAAAAAAAAGACTGCACATTTACGTGAAACACGTCCAGCCACAAGCACTGCTCTCGGTCACGTGCATTCTCCCAGAGACTACTCAAGGCCCTGCCCTCCTCTTGCAGAATAGGTACAGAGCAAAACGTCAGCTGCACAGTGGTAGTTTCCATGCGCACCACAACGCCCTCATACCAGCATCTCCATGCAAGCACGTCCGCAGCTGCGTCCCTTCGCTGCCGCCCATTCTCACAGCCCCAAACGCTGCAGCCCACAGCAGAAACAGCACCACAGCCGCATCCAGCTCCGTCGCCGCAAAAACGTCGAGCCACATGTCCATCTGGGTGCAATCCAGCGGCGTGCGGCCGCAAAGGAAGCCGCCGCGCCGTCGACGCAACTGTTGCGGTGGCCGGCCGAATTCCCTTCGAGCGCTCCTCCCGCCGGACGAGTAGCCCGCGCCTCCGCCTGTGGGGTGGTGTGCGGTTCGCCCAGCGGCCACGCGCCCCGCCCGTGCACGGACGCCCCGTCACTCCCACGCCACCGCAGCAGCGGAGAACAAAAAAAGAGTCATCGTCGTCGCGGACCACCGGTGCCTCTAGCGGGAGAAGGGGGAGGAGGCGGAATGTGAATGGGGGCGTGTCGGCGGCACAGCCAGCGGCGGGGGGATCAAACAAGACACGGAGACACGCAGCGACAGCGGCGGACACGGCGCACAAACTCAGCGTGAGCCGCAGTGAGTTGCCCCAAGTAAGAAAATTAATACCAAAACAAAGCGATGGAAGTCCAGCAGGGCACAGGGAAAAGCAAACAAACAAGAAATTACTTACGGCAGGTGTTTCGTTCCTTCACGTGTCCAGCAGCCCAAGAGGACAGTGGGAGTGCATGTGTATTTGATGCCTGCACCAATAAAAGCAAAAAAAGAAAAAAAGAAAGAAAACAAACTAGACCCG